ATTTCTTTTTCAGAGTTCTTACTGTTGTAGAAGAATCCAGCTGATATTTTCATATTGATCTCGTACCCTGCCACTTTACTGAATCTTTCAGTTAGTTCTAGTAGCTTTCTTGCAGATACTCTGGGGATTTTCTATGTGGAGGATCATTATCATCTGTAAACAGGGATAGTTTCTCTTTTACCTAAACAATTTGGATAGAATCGTGGTGTGGTGCTGTAGGATCAACAATGAACTGCTAAACCACAGGGTTGGTGGTTCAAACCCACCAGCAACTCCTAGGAAACCTTATATAGAATCACTATGAGTATGAATTGGCAATTAAAAACAACAAACAATCTGGTTACCTTTTATTTGCCTTTCTTGTCTTAATGTCCTAATTATAACTTCCAATACAACACTGAATGTATGAACTACAGAATGAATCCTTATCTAGTCTCTATTCACAAGTGAAATGCTTTCAGTGTCTCTCACTTGATAATAATTTTGGTCAGTTTTTTCACTTTCAGGAATTTATATAATTCAGGAATTTCACTACTATCCCTACTTTACTGAGACAATTTATCAGAAGCAGTTATTTGGTGGTTTTTATCAAATGCTTTTACTGCGTCCATTGATATGGACTTGCAGTTTTTTTCCTTTGTTTTATTTATGTAAGTGGATTGCCTTTTTTGTTTTTTTTTTTAAATGCTGAACCATCCTTGCATACCTGGTCTGAGTCACACTTATTCATGATGTATTATGATTTTGATAGGGTGTTGGATTTTACTGGCTAGGGATTTGTACAGGATTTTTGTGTCTACGTTCATGAGGGATGTTGGTCTGTAATTTCCTTTGTAAGTGATGTCTTCTCCTGGCTTTTGCTATCAGGGTTATGTTTGCTTCATTAAATGAATTCAGGAAAATTCCATCCTTTTCTATATGATCTGGAATAGTTTCATAGAAACTATTAGTGTCAGTCCTTTTCTGAATGTTAGAATTCACCGTGATGTTGTCTGGGTCAGGGTCAGGATCAGGGTAGGGAGTTTTTTTGTTTTTTTTTTATGACTTGTTCTTTTGTTATAGGTCTGTTAAAATGTTCTACCAGTCTGTGGTTTTAAGAAATTTGTTCATTTTTTTTTCTAGGCTGTCACATTTGTTGCAGTATTGTGTCTCATACTACTTTTTTGTAACTCTTTGAAATTTCCATCAGTTCTATTATGTCATCCATTCCGTTTGCGTTATTTGCCTCTTCTCTCTTTTCCTTTGTTAATTTTTCCAGTGAATTATCAATTTTGTTGATGTTTTCGAAGAACAAACTTTTAGTCTATTACTTTCCTGTTGTCAGTTTCATTTATTTCAGCTGAAATCTTTGTTAATTCCTCTGAGCTGTTTTTGCTATATGCCAAAGGATTTGGTATGCTGTTTTCATTCTCATTTTATTTCTTCTATTGCCCAGTAGTTGTCAAGTAAGGTGTTATTCAGTTCCCATGTTTTTGATTCCTCCCCCAATATAAACACTACTGATTTCTAAGTTTATAGCATGTGATCTGAGAATATGCTTTGTATTTAAATGTTTTAAAATTTACTGAGGCTTGCTTTATGGCCTAACAATGGTTTACTCTGGAAAACAATGTACATTGGAAAAGAATGTGCATTGCACTAATGTTGCGTTGAGTGCTCTGCATATGTCTGTCCAGTTAGCTGATCTTTATTTTCTTTTTATTTATTCTGTCTTTCTTCAAAAGTGGTATTAAAGTCCTGGTATGAAGCTGTAGATAAAGCAGTGGACCACAAAGTTGGTTTCAAATTCAAGGTTGGTGGTTCAAACTCATCAGCTGCTCCTTGGAAATGCTATACAGGGTCGCTATGAGTTGGAACAGACTTGACAGCACTTAACAGTTATTTAGGAGTTATGTATTTTCTCTTTTCAAATCCGTTAACTTTTATGTATTTTGGGGCTCTTTCATCGGATGTGTAAACATTTACTATGCTTAAGTCCTCTTGCTGGATTGACTGCTTAGTCCTTTATTTGCACCTTATAATGATTTTTGCCTTGATATCTATTTTAACAGAAATCAATATTGCCACATCTGCTTTTTAATGGTTGCCACTTGCTTAACGTATTTTCTATTCATTAATTTTACCTGGCTAAGATGTAGTCCTGGAGTATAACGCTGTGTGATAAAGCACTGGACCGCAAGGTTGGTTTGAACCACAAGGTCGGTGGTTCAAACTCACCAGCTGGTCCTTGGAAAGCCTATACAGGTCGCTGAGTTGGAAACAACTCAATGACACTTAACAACAAGGTGTAGTCCTGGTGTGGCGCTGTGGAATAAAGCACTGGACCGCAAGGTCAGTTTAAACCACAAGGTGGCAGTTCAAACTCACCAGCTGCTCCTTGAGGGTCACTATGGGTTGGAAATGACTCAAACAACAAGGTATAGGCAGAATACTGATAGGTCCTGTTATCTATATTTTATCACTATCTTTCTCTTTACTGGTGGTATATTTAATCCATTTACATTCAGTGTAATTATTAATAGGCATGAATTGACTCTGCTGTCTTTTTCTGTTTTTAGTGTTCATGCTTTGTTGTGCATTTTTTCTGTGCATTGTTAACAGATTTTCTGTTCATTTTCTTCACTGTTGTTGATTTTGTGTTTATTGTGTCCTTAATGGTTTTTTTCTTTATTTGAGCTCGGTTAATTAATTTTTCTTTGTGGTTCTCTGTCATACATTTTTATCTTCTTAAATCCTCCAGGATTAGCACAGTGGCAGCAACAATGGGCTCAAATGTAGCAATTACTGTAAGGTTGGCGCAGGATTGACAGTGTTTCATTGATGGCACTTAACAACAACAAATCCTAGTGTGGCACTGCAGTAACCATAGGTCGGCGGTCCAAACCCACCAGCCCTTCTCCTCAGAAAACTTATATAGGGTCATGATGAGTTGGAACTGACTCAATGGAACTTAACAATTTTAAAACAGTCTGTTCTAGCTTGATCTTGTTGCGACTTCCTCTCCATTTATAAGTCCTATTAATTACACCATTTATTCCCTCTTTTGCTTTATAGTTGCTGTTAGTAGATAAATGCCTCTGTTTCTCTATTTTAAGTCTCATAAACGTAACTTCTGAGAAATCTTTTTCTGGGACTGTTTCTGAGTTATGCCACATGTCTTAATCTCAGTCTGTTGCCAGACACTGTCAGTTCTCTATCACTTTAGTATTTCTATTAAGGTTGGTCTGGTTTCTCTAAATTCCCTTAAATTTTGTTTGCCTGGAAATGTTTTAATTTTGCCTATGTATTTGAGGGTCAGCTTTGCTAGATACAATTCTTAGTTGGAAATTTCTTACAACATTTTATGTCATTCCATTGCCTTCTTGCCTATATGGTTTATGCTGAGAAATCTGAGTCTTCTACTTTGTAGGGAATATTTCTTTACCTGAGCTGTACTTAGGATAAACTTTCTCTTTGGTTTTGAAAGGTTTGATTATGTGTCTAAGTCTTACTAACTTTCTTTGGAGGTTAATTCTATATATATAGGGCTCAATGAACTTCTTGGATGGGTATCTTTTCATCTTTCTTGATATTATGGAAGCTTTCTACGAGCAGATCTTTGATAATTTTCTTGCCACCTATTCCGGAATTCTGATGACACAAAACTTTTCTCTTGAGTGTCACATATAATTCTTAGGCTTTCTCAATTTTTCTTCAGCCTTTTTTCTAATTATTCCTCATACAAATTGGTGCCAAGAGATCTGTCCTATAATTTACTATTGATGTGATTTACTGGAGTTCTGGTGTGGTGCTGTAGGATAAGCACTGGACCACAAAGTTGATTTGAACTTCAAGACCTGTGCTTCAAACCCACTAGCTGTTCCTCTGAAAACCTATAAAGGGTTGCTATGAGTTGGAACTCGATGGCACTTAACTGACTGATTTGACTTTACTCTATTGTCTTTGCAATTTGTTGTCAATCTCCAAAACTTTAGTGTTAGTCTTCTGAATTTCTAATTGTTATTTCTCTATGGTTTCCAACTCTTTACTTATTTGGTCACTTTGTTCTTATATTGTTTTCCTGAATTCATCTAGGGCATTGTCTGTAGTAGTCTTGACTTTATTTGTTGTTTCCTTGATTTCTTGGATGGCCCTATATACAATTCTTATAATTTCCTTTATCAGGTATTTTTATTACCATTTCTTCTCCAGGTTTCCTGGTTCTTTATTTTGGTCATTTGCTAAAGCCCTCCTGTCTTAGTTCTTTGTCTGAATTAAAATTGTTTGCTGTCTCCAAGACATTTTGGTGCTGTTGCATTTATTTGTTGATTATATGTTTGTATAACTCTGGTTTATTGTTTAGTTTTACTTTGATGTATCAGAGTAGGTGGGACAGATGTGCTATTTTGGTTGTTAGTTCGACAGCACTAGGGAGTTTCCCACCTGTCTCCGAGTAGAGTATGTAGAATAACTGGTGGAAGTGTGAGGGTAGGGCTCTTTCTGCTGGTCCTGTGTACAGCAGCTGCGGGCAGCGTGAACAGGTATTGCCCACCATCTGCCATTGATTCAGTGGTGCAGAAGGAGGTGATGGCACTCATCCATTGAGTGGGGCAGTAGTGGTTAAGTGTGGCATGTGTGGTTGACTAGCTTCACTCTGAATTTGTTTAATCTGTTTCTTATTGGAGAATCCACGATGCAGGTTTCTCCTCACCCATAGTTCTATATCTCAAAATAGCCTAGCTGTGCTACCCACCCCTCTCCTGAATCCCTCCTCGATCATGATTTATTTTCCCAACTGGTGCTTAATCCAATTCTTTATTCTTTAATTTGATGCTCAGTGATCCATGACTATCATCTGGATCTGGTTTCATGGCTTTTTGTTGTCCAGGGACTAAGAGTATGTCAGCAGGATGCCATCTTGTTCTCAAATTGATGTACTTCTTATTTAAGTTTTTTTATTCAAGATTATATAATTACTAATTATAATCAAACTCTAAAATTAGCCATTTTGTTCTACATACTTGCCAGCAAGCCCTCCCCCTGGAGGCAAATTTGGGATATTTTCTGCAGATAAGATGCGCATGACATGGGCAAGATCAGGCATTCCTTCTTCTCCAGACTTCTCCATAATATCTGTAAGTTAAAAAACAAAACCAAACAACAAACCCTAAATTAAAGTGATAACTCAGTATCCACAAAGGAACAAAAATTTTGGTACAGGATGGCCATACATATTTTAAAATACATAAACATTATCCAGTCACACAAGGAACAAGAAAAAGTAGTATAAAATTATTTGCATATGTTCTGTATGTTCATTACGGCATTATTCACAAAGCAAAAATTGAAACAAATGTCAGAAATTAGGGAGGCAGTTAAGAATTAACTGGTAGTATGGTGATGATTATGTGCTGTGGAGTCAGTTCTGACTCATAGCAACCCTGTACAGGGTTTCCGAGGCTGTAAATCTTTACGGGAGCAGAAAGCCTCATCTTTCTCCTGCGGAACAGCTAGTAGTTTCAAACCACTGACCTTGCGGTTTGCAGCCCAATTCGTAACCAATACGCTACCAGAGCTCCTAGTCAGAGTAAAATGGTTTGCAAACATTAAAAATGATCCCTATGAACAAAGTGCAGCTATGCATTGTTGATCTGTATTATTTTATGGTAAATAATACCAAGTTATTTATAATTCCAAAAAAAAAAAAATCAATGGATGGATAGGGATTATTTAAGAAACAGGAAAATTAAGAATCACTTTTTTAGATTTTTTTTGACTATGATCCAAGGCTGGTGGTTCAATCCCAGAGCCGCTCCTCAGAAGTCCTATGAGTTGGAACTGACTTGATGGCACTGAACAACAGCAATGGTTATATATTCAATAATAACTCATTAAAATGAAAAAGGAAATCTATCAAAGTATTACTAATGCTTAACACAAAAGAAAAAACTGATACTTTGCTATCTATAATCTAGGGCAAACATTAAGGCTCGGTTATTTGAACCATGTAACAAAACAAGCTCCAGTTTAAATGGTGGCAGCTTGCTCTCAAGACACAAAAGCAGCATCTAAAGCAGCTATAATGATAGCAAATCTGAACAGTTAACCATGTGTCACCACTCTTCTGTCCCTAGCTCCCCCCTTTCCACAGGCTCTATTAAAAGTCTCTGCCTACTTCTAGATCTTCACATGTACACTCTTTCTTCCCTCGGTTTGGAACACTTTCCACATCAATCCAAACAACTCCTTTACATGGTTACTTCTAGTCATCCTTCAAGTTTCAACTTAAAATATCACTTTATGAGGGACTCTTTCTCTGTCTTAAGCTCAGAGTAAGTACATTGCTCCATGCTCCCACTATACACAAGCTTTATTAAATCAGACTGAAAACCTAATAAAGGCAGAACTGTAAATGTTCTACCTTATTTCTGTTATCTCTATAGCACAGGGTTTCTGAACCCTGGCCATTGCAGATATTTTTGATCAGACAATTTTGTGTTGTGGGGACGGTCCTGTTCATTGCAGGATATAAAGCAGCATCTTCCTAATCATTAGATGCTAGTGGGACTCCTCAGTGACACTAAAATATCTCCACTTTTGCCAAGGAGATAAAGCGGCAAATCTACACTACCTTAACTGATCTATTTCACACTTGTCCACTAGTGTCATTCTACTCCAGCTCACCACCATAATCGATCACCTACACTAACTCAAGATTTCTATTGATCTCTCGGGTTCCTTTCCTGTTCCCTTTCCACAATCAATCCCTTTATAACACTTCTCCCTATAGTAACTAAAAGAAATTGTTTGGGGAAAAGTCTGATAAAGTTAATCTTCCAACGACTTCCTATTATAATTTAAATAAAGTTCAAAGTCCTCATTTTGCCTATCTAACCCTACATGATCTGCTTCCAAGCAACCTTTCTTACTTAATCTCCAACTTCCGTACAGGATTCATTCTAATTCATATATAATTATTAAGCACAGTCTCTGCTGTCCCTTTTACCTGGGATGTACTTACTCCAGATTCCACTATCTCTGCTCAAATGTTCCTCCTCAAAGGGAGGCCTTGTTGCTGTCGTTGTTATGTGCCGTGCAGCCGGTTCCGACCCATAGTAACCCTGTACAGGGTTTCTGAGGTTGTAAATCTTTATGGGAGCAGAAAGCCTCCTGACCAACAATTGTTACTGTCTGCTTAACCGATTTTGGTTTTTTTCTAGCTTTCATTGTTGTTGTTAAGTGCCAATGAGTTGGTTCTGATTCACAATGGCCCTGTACAGTGTTTCCAAGGAACATCTGGTGGGTAGTTAGCAGTCCAATGCTTATCCTACAGTACCACAACAGGACACTCCCACATTCATTACTACCTGGTCAATATAACAAGTTATTTTTCAATTATTGGTCTCTACTAGAACGAAAACTCCATGAAATCAAGGGCTTATTGTTTTCTGTTAGGTCTTTCATGACACACAAAGCTCAACAAACATTAAACAAATTAATGTATATTATTGCTGTTATGTACATCGAGTCAGTTGCAACTCATAGAGACCATGTACTGGATTTCCAATAGCAACTGGTAGGTCTGAAATGTGGATGTTTTGGTTAGTGCCTATCCTATAGTGCTTATCTTTTGGTTAGTATCTATCCTATTGCACCACAACAGGGCTCAAATACATGCTGTACATGAAATACATCCTACCCAAAGCGACCCTTGTGACCCTTTATAGGGTTTCCAAAGAGCAGCTGGTGAGTTTGAATCATTGACCTTGTGGTTCAAACTGACCTTGTAGTCTAGCGCATTAGCCCACAACACCACATGTAGGTGGCATTCTAGATCTAATTACTTCAGGCTATTTAAATATTATTGCCTGTAACATCACAGCTCCTCACTTGCATACTACGGCTCAAAAAGACAGTATTTGCCCAATATACCAGAATGCTTCGAACTAAGAATTTCATGTCAGATCACATGATTTAAGATTCTAAAAGAAATGCAAAGCTCTGAAGTAGCACTTTTTTATATAGAAATTACATGTTGAATGCCAATTCAAATTGATTTATAGTGTCTCCCTTGTCAATGATCAAAGTTTTGCCACAGGCCCAGACGATCATGATACTGCATTATGTGTCACCTCTGCCATGTAATTAATATATTAGGGGGTTTTCAAAAAGCTCATGGAAATATTCTGTTATGATTTAATTCCATTTTTCCCCCCACAAACTTTATTAAGCCCGTCATATAATCTAGAAAACTACAAATAATAAAAGAAAGTGTTATAAGCCATGTTGAATTGAATTGAACATGACTTAAAGATATAACTATTTATAGAGGCTAAGAATACATTACAGCTTGTTGAGGACTAGTCACTGTATTATGTGCTTAACAAACATTCTCATGTATTTATCAAAACAACCAACATGGCTTATGCTTTTATCTTCAATTCACAGTACAGAAACTAGAGCCTTGAGAGGGTGGACAAGTTGACTGAGAGCATCTAGCAAGTAATTAGGAACTAAGACAATTTAAAAAATCTTACCTTTGAATAGAATTAGTCAGCAATAATCTACCATCCTCAAACAATATAGGAACGTGTAAGAAACTGTGCACTACTAAAAAATCCTATAAACAACTCCTCTTAAAAATAATGACACTGATAACATGAAGTTGAGTGCCAATGACATAGAGTTTTCGGATTTCCTGAGTTTCCAGCATCCTAAATGTGACACTCATTGATGAAATTGCTGAGGAATTTACAGATCAAAAAACTCACAAAAATTAAAGCACTTTGTTTAAAATCCATAGGTGGATAGATGTAAAATTAGAAAAGATGAATTTCCTTAAAACTTGCAAAGTAATGGAGTTTTCTTATGTTCAAAACACATTTTAGATTACAAATCTCTACATTTAAAAATTCAATAATTACTATGGTTACTCTAACTAAAATATGGCTCTAATAGGCCAAATTCAAAAAGTCTATTATACTACAGGAGCCTTGGGGTGACATAATAGGGTAAGGACTGCACTCCTAACTTGAAGGTTGGTGGTTTAAACCTACTAGGAGCTCCTTGGAAACCCTATAAAAGGTTGCTGAGTTGGAACCAACTCGAAGGCACTTAACATTACACAATAATCTTAATTTATATAGTAGCTAAATTCAGCACAGGATCCTGGCTCTTAAAACTACAATACTCTGAGATAACTGGGGATATCTGAGTGGTGACTGTGGATTAGATGGCAATATTTCTATCAATATTAATGTTCTGTAGTTACATAGGATGTTATACTTGTAAGTCCTGGTATGGCACTGTGGGTTAATATGCCAGACTGCAAAGCTGTTTGAACTGCAAGGTCGGTATTTGACGCTCACCAGCTGCTCCTTGGAAACCCAACACAGGGTCGCTATGGGTCGGAATCGACTTGACAGCACTTCACAACAACAAGGGTATCATATATGCAACTTACTCTAAATTGGTTCAGAACAATCATCAATAATATGACAAAAGCATATATATGCTATAAAAAGCATATCGAAAGGTCAATAAAAGGTATAATGTAAACATTAGATAAAGGGTACACGAATATGGAAACTCTTTGTAATATTTTTGCAACTTTGGTTTAAGTTTGAAATTACAGCAAAACAAAGGTTTTTAAAAAGTAAAACCAGTAATCTTTTTACAGACCAGTGCTAACTTCTCTCTCAGGAAGATGGAAAAAACACATGGTAATGAGCTGGGAAGGGAGAAGTAATAGTAATGAAAATACAACATTTGGTATTTGGGGTGCTGTTGTTGGGTGCCATTAAGTCAGTTCCAACCCACAAATACCTGTATAGGGTTTCGGAGAGCAGTTGTTGGGTTTGAACTGCTGAACTTGTGGTTAGCAGTACAGCGCTTATACTATAGTGCCACACTAGAGCTCTTTAGGCAAATTCAAAGAGCCCTGGTGGTACACTAGTTTTCTGCTGCCAACCAAAAGACCAGGAATTCAAACTCAGCACTCTGTGGATGAAAGCTGTGGCCATCTTCTTCCATAAAGATTTACAGTCTTGGAAACCATAGGGGGCAGCTCAACTCTATCCTACAAGGTTGCTATTAGTGGGAAGTAACTCAATGGTAATGGGGCCCTTGCTTGTTTTTGTGTGTTTTTTTTTGGTGGGGATTGTCTACTAGGAATATAACCAGGTAAAGAAAAGCAAAACAAAACAAAAATTAGCCTTAACAGACTATTTTCAAAATTGTTTCTCCTTATTGTTTTAATCAGCATATTATCTTTTCCCTGTTGGTAAATCCCCATTGCTTGGTCCACGATGTAACCACAAATTTTAAGCAGATAGATGCGTCCTTTTGTTTCTTGTTTTCTTTTATTTATAGTTGTGTTTACAGGAAAGGTAAATACACATATACAAATATCCTCTTTCAAATTCTTATTTATATATTTGTGAGTATACTTCCCTTTTTCTCCCATACCCACTCAGCCTGTGTATCTGCCCATGTAGCTACCCACAAAACAATGTTGTTCAAAGGCTATATTTTTAACTAGTTACCTCTATCCCTTTTAGATTTCTGGTTTTTGAGGTCATGCTTTGGAATACTGAAATATTTTTCAAGGAAGTTACAAAGGAATTATTTGATAAGAAGGAATACTTTTCTTTCCTTCTAAATAAAAAAGCACTTTCCTTACCTTCAACCCTTGATTCCAAGTGCTTATCCAACTCTGAGTCTTTTTTCACTGCTTCATCTGAGACCTTGGGGGCATTTGAAAAGCAAACTAGCACAATACTCATGTTATCTCGACTTCCCTGCATATTAAAGAAGGAAAATGAAAAAAAAAAAAAAATTAAATATTTTTTTCTACCAACTTTCTGACTTACTTCTAAAAAGTTACTTTAATCAAATACAGTTTATTTCATCACCTGAAATGTACACATTAAACATATTTCTATTCTAAAGAACAATTTTAAACACAACATGAAAAACAAAAGGTCTCTAGGAATGGTTAGATATGTATTTTGGATATTTTATTCTGTGCAACTATTCTTTTCATCCCCGTCATTCCAAAGTTTGAGAAATGAAGAGAGCTTAACATATATTAAGCTTCCTAAACTTTGTTTCCCACTCAGAATCCTATTCCCATATCCCCAAAATGGCTTAAGCAAAACTTATCCTACTAAACACACGTGAGAACTTTTTCCACTTAATTAATGTGTATCAGAGCAATATCATTACAACTCTAATTTGACGTAGCGGAAAAATGTAGATCCACACATTATCCAAGCAGCTAAAGTGAACAACTACAAAACAGCTCAATTTGAAACTGTTACACATCAAACACTGCAATGCTGGCTACATGACTGAGATATAACTGTAATTATATTGATAACTTTTTTTTAAAAAAAGAACTCAGGTTATTAAATTGTAGTATAAAATTACAAACAGTTTCAGGGTATAATTTCACTGCTATCTTTAAAATCACATCCCCACATACATGGTCTTTACTTAAAGCAAAAAACAAAACAGAAAAAAAAGTATATATATTCTCTATTATGGTTACGAAGTCAGGCTGCCAACCTCAAGGTTAGCAGTTTGAAACTACCATCAGCTCCGTGGAAGAATTAGAGCCTTGGAAACCCTGTGCAGGGTCACTATGAGTCAGAACCTACTCCAAGGTACTTAACAACAACAACATTACCATAAGACTATAAGCAATAAATTATAAACAACTTCTTACTCAATAGCAATTTTATTTTTAAATCAAAAACTTTTTTTTTTTTTAAATGTTGACTTCCCTCCAAAAATGGTGTCAATGAGGAGGGTACCTCTTTCATTTATCTGATAATGGGGTTTGCCAATCCCAGTGAGATAAGCCATAGACACACCTAGTCATTTCAAACATAATCTATGCACATTTAATGCTTGTTTCAGACTTGCCACTTTTCCAGAACCCTTATTAAACAACCAAGCATGCAGCCAAAAGGGCAGGTAGGCCTTGGAGAACACTTCTACCATCACCTCTTAACTCAGTGAAGCAAAGTTCCAAAGCAGTAGATACTGAGTCTAAGAAAACTTCAGAAGAAGTTAACTCACGCCACAGATTCCAACGCTTTGATAGGAGAAGAATCATAATCTGGAAAATCAAAATTTCCAAACTGGCCAAACTAATTCATTCTTTCATGAAATCCATCAAAAGCTTCCGTCATGGCTTAATATTAAAAATGCTGCTAACAATTGTATGAAGACAGATAGCTTTGAACAGCAAAAGAGAACTAACTCACTATACTCACTACATGGAAATGAGGTCTTCCCACGTAAATTCAGTCCCAACAACAACAAAAGTATCAGGCTTCTTCCTCAAGAAATAAGCATACCTCTAATGATTGTTTAAAAATAAATTTTATGAATAACTAGAGTTACCACCTTCTAGAAATCTAATTTCCTCTGATCACTTTCAATTAGTAACAACAGTGTGAACATTTACCAATTCCTAAACGATATACCTTCTATCAGATTTTATAAGTTACAAAATATATATACCAGTTAGAAAATAAAACAAAAGAATGTCTGGAAATTTACAGCCTCCCAAAGATTAATCTAAAGGAAATAATTCACATCTACATTTCAGGCATGTGTGATTATAATGATGCTGCTTCTATTTTATATAAAGATTATTTTCTCTTAACAGTGTTATAAAAAAGGCCCTCCCCCCTTCCTAGAGACAAAATCATCCTTGCTTCATGAGCACATATTTCTCATTAAGTTCACAGAACTAAATGAAACATGTTTTAAAAACGAAACAAAAAGCACATTTTGGACAAATAAAATAATCAGTCAAAAATTTATAGACTAGTGGTTTCAATACTGCTTTCTGTCGTTTTTTGGTTTTTTTTTTTTTGTTAACTTAAAAAACTGTGACATCAGAATAGCAATAACACATTAAGGGATTAAAAAATTAATAGTGCTACAGGACTGAGTCGTAACATATAACATATGTAATAGGTTATAAAGCATAATCCTTATTATTGCCAACGCTGGTCAGTCAACAATATCTGTTAAGTGAACCATCAATACTCATTTAAAACAATCAAAAAAACAAGAAAAACAAAAAACGCCCCACCTATTTTTTTAAAAAAACACTCTACCTGGCATGCACTGTGATTATCAAAGAAACAATCAAGGTGAAGAACATTTCAAAGTTTTACCTGTCTAAGAAACGGTAAAGATTATTATTTCTTTTCAAGATTATTTATTTCACCCATTTTCCTATTCCTTTAAAACTATTATTTCTTAATACAAATATACTTATTTTCCTCTTTGTTTATAATCACCATTAACAAAATTAAAATGTATTGATACAAGTCAAGTACTCACTAAGGGTTTTGCCCTTAAGAATCCATGTGCAAAGTATTATCATCCCTCTTTTATATGAAGAAACTGAGGTTTTGCCTGAGTTTATACTGAGTAGCACTGCTGTTGTTTTTAGGTGCTCTTGAGTTGGTAGCATCTCACAGAGACCTCATGTACAATAAACAAAACACTGCCCGGCCCAGTGCCAATCTCACAATCGTTGCTAAGCTTGAGTCCATTGCTGCTGCCACTGCTCCAATCGATCTTGCTGGAAATCTTTCTATTTTTCACTAACCTTCCACTTTACCTAGCATGATGTCCTTCTCTACGGACTGGTCCCACCTGAAAATATATCCTAAATATGAAAGATAAAGTCTAGTCATCCTCGCTTCCAAGGAACATTCTGCCTGTACTTCTTCCAAAACAGATATATTTGTTCTTTGGACAGTCCATGATACCTTTACTACTCTCCTCCAAAACCATAGCTTAAATGCATCTATTATTCTACAGCCTTCCTTATTCAGTGACCAACTTCCACATGAATATGAAGCTACTGAGGGTTGGGTCAGGCGCACCCCAGTCCTCAAAGTGACATCATTGCTCTAGAACACTTTAAAGACGTCTTGTGGAACAGATTTGCCTAATGCAATAGGTTGCTCGATTTCTTGACTGCTGCTTTCAAGCGTGTTGATGGTTGATCCCAACCAACAAAATGAACTACTTCAATCTTTATTTATTTTGATCCTATTTATTGCCTCACTGATGAAGATTTTTGTTTCTTTACATTGAGGTGCAATTCATATTTAAGACTGTCCTGGACCTTCATCAGTAAGTATTTAAGCATTTTAGTAAGCATATTACCACCTGCATATAGCGGACTGCTCATGAGTCTTCCTTTAATCCTGATGCCAAGTTGTTTCTTGTTCATATAATGCAAATTCTCAAATTATTTGCTCAGCATTATTGTTGTTAAGTGCCGTCCAGTCGGTTCGGACTCATAGCAACCCTGTATAGGCTGTATCTGAGGAGCACCTGGTAGGTCTGAACCACACTGATTTTGGGGCTTGCAGTCCAGTGCTGATTTGCTCAGTTGTCAAACTGGATAAGCATTGTCAAAGAACACAACCCTGGCGCACATTTTTCCTACTTTTAAACCATCCATGTCCAACAAGAGCACTCTGTGTTTTTACAACTATGACAATCTCACAATGACAAGAGAGAATGGCTCAAACAAATGACCAAGATGCAGAGCCAGTAAATGTTTATGAGGAATAAAAGGTAATAAAACTAAAAAGAATTCAAAAGAATGATAATTAGGTTCCTTTCAAAAGGATTGGTAGAAAATCAAGGAGAGCAAGGAGAAAAAAAAAGAAAACTTTAGAAGAATTCAGGAAAACACCACAAGAAGAGACAAAATAAATGCAAACTTTGAGATAATAAAAAAGTTGCAATTAGTACTATTAGGATTGACTGTGAGGCTTAGAAACGTAAAGGCAGACATTTTGTAGCAAAGAGGGGAGCGGTTGACTTTGCAGTCCAGGAGCGGAGGGCCCTGAGACCATCAAGGAAGAAGAGTTGAGTGCGGGACCCTACCCAGAGAAACAGTGACACAAGAGACGGAGGCAGAGACGATGACGCGGAAATGGAGTGGCTGGTACTCTAGACTCAAAAAGGGAGAGGGGCTGTATGCTGCCAACCAAGGGGCAGGCTTGTAGAGTGTATCATTTGGTTGGTTGATACATGAAGGGGATTGTTAACAATGGCAATGTAAGGATATAACGATAGGATAAACGTAAAGCTAATGTTCTCCCATGTAAAGCATCACATAATTCACAATTAAACATTTTTAAAAATTGCCATGACAGGGGAAAAAAAACACTTGCAATTAGAAATCCAGAAGATTAATACTAAGGACTCATAAACGAAAGGGCAATGGAGCACATGCAAAGCAATGGAAGTTTAAATTAGTGAGCTTGAAGATCGTATCTCTCAATATTAGAATGCTAGAAGAACAATCAGAAAAAAAGAATGAAAAAAATCCAAAGACTAAGAGTTATATGGGACACTATGAAGAATGAAAACTCCAGAACAGAAAAGATTGTCAAAGAGTTGATGGAAGAAAACTTCCCTAATATCATGAAAGATGAGAAGATAAGCATACAAGAAGCTGAATGAATCACAAACAGGAGAGATCCGAAAAGAAAATCAGTAAGACATGTTATAATCAAATTTTCTGAAATCAAAGACAAGGAAAGAATACTGAGAGCAGCTCAGAAAAAGCCAAAAGGAGAACCAATCTTTGAATTCTAATCACCAGTAATTATTAATACATCTTGATTACATTTGATGAATTTCAGACCAAAGAATTTGATAGAATTCTTTAATTTCATCATCACTAGCCTGGTCTTTCTTATAGGTGCACGGATATTATCCTACTACAGATGACATTATTCAAGAC